CCACACACACACCTACACTGTACCACACACACACACACACCTACACACTGTACCACACACACACCTACACACTGTACCACACACACACCTACACACTGAAACACACACACATCTACGCACTGTACAACACACACATCTACACACTGTACCACACACACACCTACACACTGCACAACACACACACCTACACACTGTACCACACACACCTACACACTGTACCACACCCACATCTACACACTGTACCACACACACACACCTACACACTGCACAACACACACGCCTACACACTGTACAACAGACACACCTACACACTGTACCACACACACCTACACACTGTACCACACACACCTACAGCTCCTAAAGCATAATCAGGCTACAGCCGTTGTGTATTTTATTATGTGAAGCACTAAATGGTCTTAGAAAAATATCGACTCTTTGTTTGTAGATATCTACAAAACTAATGCAAATAAAGAGAGTAGGCCTGTTATACTGAGTGATATATATTTTACACACTGCTCTGTTTTCTGCACGGACCTCACAGCTGTTCTCACTGTAAACATCGCGTCGCGATGAAAGCAGTTACTAAAATAATATCCAGGGGATGCATGCAGAGCTGTCATTAGCTGAGATAAGTCCGGCCGTGCGTCACGCCTCCACCGTTCCCGGAAATGCATCCGTGGAGGAGCCGTGGAGGACCCATCAGTAGGCTTGTTTGAGACGCGTTGCGGCTCGCCTCGAAAGTAGACGAGAATAGCCGATCGCAGCCGGGGGAGGTCTCAAAAAGCTCGCCTGAAGTCGGACAGCTCCGAGTCGGCTTCTTCTTCTGCTGCTGCTTTGCCTTCTTCTTCTTCTTCTTCTTCGGTNATCGCGTTGCGATGAAAGCAGTTACTAAAATAATATCCAAGGGATGCATGCAGAGCTGTCATTAGCTGAGATAAGTCCGGCCGTGCGTCACGCCTCCACCGTTCCCGGAAATGCATCCGCGGAGGAGCCGTGGAGGAACCATCAGTGTCTCCTCGGTTATAGCTCCTCCAGAGAGCCTCCTCCATGCTCGATGCTCGGGCCTCGAAGTGCATTTAGAGAAATTAGATGTCCTTCAAAATGGCGCGCTGAAATTCATTTCCGGGTCACTACCGGAGGACCGAGGAGGGGAAATTTGAGTATTGAGAAACCTCTATAGTTTCTCACTGACCATACAGGGGCTCAGTTTGATGTTTTGTTACTGCTGTAATTCAAGAAAGGTTAAACAGGGAAATATCTCAAAAAGGGTAAAAAAATCACAGTTCCATTTAAATCACGTTCTATTTTCATTCATTTTTTACTTATTCAATAAAGTCCGCTAGAGTTGGACTTTTTAGGTTTTATGTACCCGATCCACTTGTGAAAATCTAGTAGATGTCCATTGTCTTTATTACTTACATCCATTGATCAATGATGGGTGGCTTTTCCCAAACCACTTCTTTGTGACAGCCTTTTTAAGAATTGTATGAATACAATTTTAATGTTTTCCCTGTTTTTTTCTAAATAAATGTTGACAAGCCTTTTCTTTCTGCTTCTGCCAGAGTTGTCCAACTGCCATCGACGAGATGTTCAACACCAAACTGCACATTATCGGAGGGGTGGGCATTGGTATCGGGATCATCATGGTGAGTGTGATGACACATCCTGAAAAGATTTTAATGCCAACATTTATAATTCTTTAATTACTTAGCAGTTGACATTAAAAGAAACATGCACATACATGTTTTGATCTTTTACCAACGTATAAGTTTTCCACCCTTTGTATATTCATGTCGTCCTTCTCCTTTCAGATCTTTGGGATGATCTTCAGCATGATGCTCTGCTGTGCTATTAAGAAGTCCCGGGACTTTGTCTGAACAAAAAAAAACCTCTGTTAAATGTATGTCTTCCCACACAACTGCTTAAGAGTTTAAATCTGTTTAATGATCATAACAGTCATATTATAGTTTACTACCCGGATCCATACAGCATGACCACTCTGCGACAGTATGGAACCTCATTTGTTTGCTCTTCTTCTCTTTGGGTACAAATGTAATTCCTTTGCCCGGGAAATTGAATACTTTTTATTCTAGTACCAATTATAATGAATGTGCTACTTTTCAGTTTCACAGAGAGCTTGTCCGCACTACTTTTTAAAGACGTTGCTGCCCTCTGGAGGATGTTGAAGAAAGAATTTAGAATAATATCGGATCAATTTATGTATAACATTGCCTGTGGTTGGTTTGTAATCGAACAGGCTTTTTTTTTTGTAGCTAACTGGTTTTACTTTGTATTTTATGTTTGCCTGAACTTACATGAATTTTGATTTTTATAAATGCAGAACTGTGGAGTTTTATGCAAATATTTTTGATGAATGCAGTTCCAATGTATCTTTAACATGCCAAATAAATTAATGAATAACCACTGTTTGGTGCCACTCAGATATTTTGTGATAAATTGTAGGAGGGATGTCATTTTACTGAGCAGAAAGGGAAGATGGAGTACAATTAATGTGGATACTAAAGAGATTTCTCAAAAGTACAAAACAAACTCTGAGCTCGCTTACAGTATCCACTTCCTAGTTTTGATGGAGGAAAATACTTCTAAAAGTCTCATGCAAATGAATATTGGCTTCCACAAGAAGTCACTTTTTATTACCTAACACGGACATTTAAATGCAAAACTGGCCTTTAATCTGCAGGCCCTCATTTGCATTCAGTTATCCAAATGTTCCAGAAGAGTCTGTAACTGTGCATTTCATCTGTGTTGCTGTAAACATCATTACGCAGTCAGAGAGAAGCAAAGAGGCATTCAGGGTACAGGATTATTTATTCCATAAAACAATGAAATGAATAAAATACATGGCTTTGACGATCCTAAAGTTGTGGTGAGGTCGACTCCTCAGTTTGGATAGCACTAAGATGTTTGTCATTGGAGAAACAAAAGCTGGAAAACAGTCATGATACATTTCATATTTTTCACTTTATAAAGTATTCAGAGGAACACTTTTTTAGTCTTATGGCATTTCTTGATGAAATCTTGCTTTAGGATCAACTTTTGACACTTGGTATTTCCTGTGACCAAGCATGACACCAGAATTAGTTTTTTGGCAGAAAGTGAGAATACGGCTGTTTGATTAATTGTTCAAGCCATTTTCTTTAAAGCAATGACGACAGTTATCTGGCTTCCAGTTTTCAAATGTGAATATTTACTGGTCTTCTGACAGTAAAGTACATGTATTTTGGTCTTGGACTTCAGGTAATAATTGAAAATCATCACATTGGGCTTTGGGAAAGTTTGAAAGTGTACTTGGAAAAACGAATTTGTCCCAAAATCCACTCAACTTTAGTGCTGAGCTACATTTGGAGACAAAGTCTGGTTTTAGTTCAACTATTCTGTTTGCATGTCACGGGTCACGTCTGTAAACCGTAGTGTTTACCTAACCTGCAAAAATATCAATAAACCTCTTTGTAACACTGTTAGCTCTGAGCTAAAATACAGAATGTTTCAATGATTATAATTCTTATTTAAATGCAAAACAAAGAGACAGCGAATCAAACAGTCAAAATTATAGCTACTTCTGGAAAAAACCCAGCTCAGATTTGTGAATGGCAAAATATAAATGGCGGACACATCAATGTGATATAGTTACTAAATATCTGGGGTAATTCAATGTAAAGCAACAATTATTGTTCCCATTTGTGCTACAGCTGTGTGTGCATGGCTTAGACTAAAGTGTGTACCAATACTTAGTGCAAGGATTGGCAGTGAGTCAGTATTTCAATTCTAAAAAATCCTCTTAGAAGTGGAAAATGAATTAAATCCACAGCGATAATCAGATAAGCAGTGACAGAGAAAGATAAAACATACAAAGTGTTGCATATATTTGTCACAGAAGCTGCTTGTGCTATTGCTTTGTTAGCTAGTTTGTTACTAGAGTCTACAGTACTGAATACTGCTGCGGTGTGTTTACATGCTCATCATTTACTTCCAGCTGAAAGGGAAAAACCCACCCTGTTCAAATATTTTAAAACAGTTGGCAAATGAGGCAAAAATCAATTTTGATAGCATAAATTCAAATATAGTAATTCACAGATTCTATAATGGAGCATTCAGGTGAAACTGGTCAACTCAAAAGGTTTAAATACAATAATTGAAGTGGAAATTATAAACAATGTACTGATGTGTTGAGAAGCTGAAGTATAGTTTGTTGATTTAGAAATAAAATCCATTACTTGAATCATTCATTCATTAATAAAGCAATTATCAAACAAACACTTTCTGTTCAATTATTCTCCGATTCAGACGTTCAAAGATGACCCCTTTTCTCAGGTCATTTTTTATTATTTTCTGACATTTTATAGTCTTAATAATTATTGGAATGATCGAAATAACAACCCGCTTCTTTTGCTGGTTGCTACCCTAAACTCAGACATGATAATGTTTGCAGTACATACTCTATAGTTTTTGTATATACTACACATTTGGGAGATATCACGTCTCAGCTTCCAGCATTTGCACCTCACACTGGCTTTTTCATTTTTCAAGTTCATATGACTTAATATTCTTTGACCCTGAATGCACCATTAAATCAAAAGATGGCATCTGATTGGAGTTTAGAGGAACATAATACATACATTCTGTAGGTGAAGACCATTGGGGCCCTCCATCAATGACTGTATTCACAATTTGACTATTATACTCCAACGTTCTGAAGATATTAATGTAGTAATGAGCAACTTAGATAAGATACAAAGTTCAAAATTACACAGAAGAGATATGACATACAAAAACCAGATGAACGGGCAGATTTTTCCTTTAACTCTTGCATCATGATATCAAACACAATGTTTTCCAGCATGAATTTAAGAGTGTGTTATTATGAGAAAGAAATGACATACATGAGCATGTAGACACACCTGTTTCACCCTCCAGCAGTGTGTCTCCAGGCAGAGTTTTGGCCTCTATAAGTACATTATTTCTACACTGTAACACAGTGTGTGTGTTAAGTGCTTTGTGTTTCAGCACCAACAGGTCTGACGAGTTTTCCTCCAGCTGGAACCATTAGAAGCTTCACTGGTTTTGGTCCAAGTATCTCCAGTTTGCTACGGGTCAGCTGGGAAAAGTTAGATTGAGATGAGCCCTGCTGTCCATATAGTCCTTCATGTGTCAAGGCCATGTCTTCCCTTCTTCCTCCTCCTCTTCCTCTTTACCTGATTTCGTGGAAGTAGAGGTTGGCACATAGACACAGCAGCAGGATGGACGCCAGCATGTAGTAAATCAGATTCCTGAATTTAGGCTCCAGATCGCCCTGCCGGTACCAGTATATCTGACAGGGAGAAACATGAAAAGGTTTATTTATAATGGAAGTTTGGCTGGAGTAGAAATGTTATACATCACTAAGCCATTGTTTTCCCCAGTTTTATTTTTTACATTTTTACAAGAAACTTTCAGTGGCAAGGCGGCTCATATTGACTATTTAAACACCATTTATTTTTCACCAAATTACTTTTAAAATTATTATTCTTTATATTATTATTTGATAATAAAGTCTAAAAATGTCTGAAAACAGTGAAAGAAATATCTGAATTTTTAACCAAAAATCACAAAATGTTCAATAAATAGAAACAATTACATAAAATAAATACATGCAGCAAAGTGCATAAATACATACACCTGACATTCTGAGAATCGGTTCAGTTTTACTGGATAAAAATGATTTAAATAATTTGTCAACTTCGATTAATTAATTGACTAATTGTTTCAGCCCTGATTGCAACGCCTCAAAGCAATTTAAAGAAAAACCTATGAAATGACTGAAAGTTTTATCTGAAAAAGTACGTTTAAGATTCACTATTTACCTGGTTTCCATTCCCATTAAACATCTAACAGAAATCTAAAGGGCAGTCATTTTACATTACCTATTTTGATGTACTTAAGTTATCATTTATACAGGAACTAATGAGCCTTTCAAATAAAAAACAAAATGGTGTTTTTACCAGCATTATATTCGATCCACATGCTAACAGGATGCACACGGCAAAGAAGACATTAAGCGGTCGCGGAGGCAACGAGGGGAACACAAAAGAACTGATAACAGTCACCTGCAAGACAAAAAGGACAAATGTTAACACAAAAAGAGTCTAAATAATCAAAAGCTTTTTAATAAAAAACAAGCTTTTCAGCTTTAACATCTTTGGCATTTACAGTTTCATCTATCTGTTATTACTGAAGGACTTTTGCACTTTAATTGCAGTATTTATTTATTAGACCTTCTATGTAAAGGTGATGTACATTAAACATGTAAAACGTATTTTGTTTAACAGGATGCATGTTAGAACGCAGCTCGTTTTAAGAATCGCAGACAGCGCTGTGCTGGAGGTGTGTGTAAGTTGATTTTCTGCAGACAGACAGTATGGAGAAACACTGTCTGTCTGCAGAAGGAGAAGTAAAAACACATGATTCATTATTTTAACTGCAAACTCCCTTTTCCTCTTACGTCAGCATCCAAAAATAGATAACCACATTTCTTTCAGAGAGCAGGAAACATGAAACATTGCTCGTATGGTTACATGTGTACAACTCGTGGCACAGGTTACACTTTAATGCTGAAAGTAAAACTATAAATGGGTTCAATGAGGAAAATAGAAAATAGAGTTTTTTAAAAGATCATAGAATTTATGCAAACCTTAACTTAAAAAAGATGCATAATAGCATATAGGAATTTGAAATAAGTACAGACGTCAGATCAGTTATAACCAATCAGACTTAAAAGTAACCCTACGCCCTACCAAGTCTAAAGCTAAATAAAACGCCTATGCATTTCAACGAGATGCACACACAGTAAATGCCCCTTTGCAACTGCAGCTCTAAAGTTATGGTAAAGAAATACTCTTGCACACTACTATCACCAACACATTCACTACAGTCATTAAGAACAGATGCAAATAGAAAACATTTTATTTTATACATTAAGTAAGCCGCTGTAAAACATTTGGGTGATTTCTCAAGCTTTTGCTTTGGGGCAACATCTACATATGTAAGTGGTAAAAGGACATTCAATAATGAGTACTTACTAAAACAACCAGAGACGTGACTCCCCCCACAGCCAGGTTGACGATTCGATCCTGAAAGGGAGAACGTTTATAAAAGACGTCTGTTTATTTTTGATATATTGTATTCCTTAGAGTTCTACATTTGTTAAAAACTGAATGTGAGAGACACAGAGAGGGCAGGGAAGCCAGAAAGAAACATACATGCATGTAATGTATTATTATTCATAACATTAAAACACTAAAAATACTGTATCATACATATTTTTACATATGTATTGTTGTTATATAGTACAATGTGCAAATGTTTACTTCTTTACATTATTTCATAATATTCTAAAATGAAGCAACTGTTCCAAAATCCAAGTCCCCCC